ATACACATATATATGCGTGTGTGTGTGTGTGTGTGTTTTATACACACAAACACACAGAGACCATAGCCGGCACCATGCGACTTTTTACGATTGCCATGAATAATGAATGGACCATTCATCCATTCATTATTCTAAAAAGAAATAAAAAGGTAAAACTCTTTGAGCATTTCAGTACTAAGATAAATTCTAAATGCTGAATTCAATTTTTTTTAACATGATGATGATGATGATGGTGGAAATATATATGTGCACACACACACACACACACACACACACACACACACACACACACACACACACACACACACACACACACACACACACACACACACACACACACACACACACACATGAAGAAAATAATAATAATAATAATAATAATTATTATTATTATTATTATTATTATTGTTACTATTATTATTGTTATTGTTATTATTATTATTATTATCATAAGTATGATTATAGTAATATCAGCAACAATAATAACTAATAAATCAGTAAATACAACTACTTCTACCAACAACAATAGTAATGATAATAGATCTATGTGAAAAATCTAGAACATATGCTAGAAATAAGCATATGGTTTAATCATTATCTTAATGTTTTCCAGTAGTGACAAGACCGGGACGTTGCTAAATCTTCCCCTTTCATAGAGTATATCAAAGGTCTAAGTACTGATTTAGACTTTGCCTATACCCATCCATGGGTATGTAGCCCGTGCACTACCATGATAACGGCTCAGTTGGAGGGACTGCTATAAATAATTACTATAACAATAAAATAAAAACAAAAATAAACAAATACGTAAATTTGCTTTGCTCCACTTCCTAAATTCTAGCCCTTAATCTATATTGGGCAATTTAAGATTCACTCTGTTAGTTCCTTGCCTCGATCACAGTTGTTCTGGGAATTCCTGTAAAGGTGGAAATCTGCCAGCAGTTTACAACTGAAACTCGATTTGTGAGGAATGAACAATTTGGGACGTGGACAGTGTGCTAAGGATAGAAGGCCATAACTTAAAATCGTCAGGTCCTGTCTCTAGTTTTCAGGACGAGTGCAGAACGCGTCGAGCGGAGACTGGAGGACATAATTCATACATACATAATTCGAATGGAGGGGAAAGAAAGTGACAGATTGGTCGTTTGCAAGAAGTACAAGGAGCGAAACGTTCGAGAGAGTGAAGTGCATGGAGATATAAACTGCGAGATGAACACACCATCGGATCACTGCAAAGAATTAAGAATCCAGAGAAGTCGCTGCAATCACTGTCTAAAGATACGAGCTGTAGGGCTTGCTTAGCTTGATAGAATCGGCGAGGAACGTTAAAAAAGCATTTCAAGAGATTCATTACAATATCACATCAGTATCTTCAAGAAAACCAGATATCCACTGGGCAAAAAGTTGTGTCATATCAATTATTTTCAATAAATTTTTGTTACTTGAAATAATATGAAAGATAACCGAGATATCAGTAATGATCATAATAATGACAACGATACCAGTACTAACATCTTTAACGAAATAATGAAAGTATGTTAATCAAAATCAAAGAAATTGATCAAAATGATGGTAATATTGATAATGGTAACAGTGATCATGATAACGAAAAAATGGTTAAAGTTAATAGTAACCATGGATATAATCAAAATACTTATAATGTTTATAATGATAATGATAAAAAAAACATTATAACTGCCATTATCATTATTATCATTGTTGTTATCACTATTATTATTATCATTATTATTATAATCATTATCATTATCATTATTTCTATTATTATTATAAATATTATTGTTAATATTATCACCATCATCATCATCATTATTATTATTATTATTATCATTATTGTTATTATTATTATTATATTAGTTATTATCATTATTATTCATTATTATTAGTATTATTATGTTATTGTTATTATTGATGTTGTTTTTCTTTTATCATTATTGTTGTTATTATTATTGTAATTAATATTATTATTGTTGTTGTTTTTATCACTATTATTATCATCATCATTATTACTATTATTATTCTTTTTTATTATCCCTTATATTATTTTCATTATTGCTATTATTATTATTATTAATGTTACTATCATAATCATCATCATCATCACCACATTACTAAAATGATGGTGATGATGATAATGCTAATGTTGATAGTAGTAGCAATAGTAATAGTGATGGTGATGATGATAATAATAATAGTAATAATGATAATAATAGTATTATTATTATTATCATTATTAATGATAATGATAAAAATGATTATGATGATGATAGTGAGGATAATAATGATGGTTATCATAGTAATAAAAAATAGTAATGATTATTGTTGTAATAATGATGATGATGATGATGATGATGAGGAGGAGGAGGAGGAGGAGGAGGAGGAGGATAATAATAACAATAACAATCATAATAATAATGATTATAGTAATGATAGTAAGAGTAACAATAATAATCATTATCATCATTATTTTTTTATTATTACTATTATTGTTATTATTATTGATATTATTGTTATTATTATTGATATTATTATTATTATTATTATTATTGCTATTATTATTATTATTGTTACTATTATTATTATTATTATTATTATTATTATTATTATTTAAGTCCCATGTCCATGGATGTAGTATTATTATGTTATTGTTATTATTGATGTTGTTTTTCTTTTATCATCATTATTGTTGTTATTATTATTGTAATTAATATTATTATTGTTGTTGTTTTTATCACAACACTGAGGGGGCCTAGAAACATGCTTACTAGGCCGCGGGATGATGCGGTAGGGTGGCCAGTTCCTTTCCGCCCCGACTTTGACCCCGACATGCTGACGTCAGCATATCAGTACTCATTCACAGCTGAGTCGACTGAGAGGGGCGGCGGCCGGGCGCGAACCCGGGACCTCGCGATTGCAAAGCCAGCGCTCTACCACTGAGCTATGACATTATTATTATTATCATTAATTATTATTATTACCATTAATTATTATTATTATTATCTATTATTATTATTATTATTATTATTATTATAGTAATGATAATAAAAATTAGTAATGATTATTGTTGTAATAATAATGATGATGATGATGATGATGACGAAGAGGAGGAGGAGGATGATAATAATAACAATAACAATCATAATGATAATGATTATAGTAATGATAGTAAGAGTAATAATCATCATCATCATCATATCATCATATTGTTTTCATTATTATTATTATTATTATTGATAATAATAATAATAATATTATTATTATTATTACTGTTATTATTGCTATTGTTATTATTATCTATTTTCTCTTGTTATTATTGTCATAATCATTATAATTATCATTATTATTATTATTACTATTATTATCTTTATTGTTATTGTTATTGTTATTATTATTTTTATTAATACTATTTCATTAATATTATTATGATTATGATTATTATTATTAATATTATTATTTTAATTTTATCATTAATTATTATTATCATCATTGTTATTATCATTATTATTATTATTATTATTTACAATGAATCTTATTGTTGTTATTATTATTATTAACTGTTATCATTATTATTATCATCATTATTAAGGACTTTTTTTACTATTGTTGTTGTTATTATTATTATTATTATTATCATCATTGTGTATTACATGTTATATATTATATATTATACATTATATGTTATTATGGTTATGATGATGATTATTATTAATATTATCATCATTATAATATATTATTATCATAATATATTAATATTATGATTATGATTATTATCATTATTGTTATTGTCATAAGTGTTATTACTATTTTTGTTATTATTATTATTAGTAGTAGTAGTAGTATCGAATGCTGTTGTTAATTATCATCATCATTATCATTATATTAACAACAGTAATAATGTACGATAATAATGATGATTCTTATAAAAATGATAATGATGATAATAATGATATCAATGACAATGTAACAGTGTTCGTAAGAGATTGCAGCTTGCTATATGTTAAGAATAAGAATATATATGAAATTTGAGGTTGTGTGTTTATTTTTTTGTACCCATTTAATACATATCCCTCTTAGAGTATTTTGTTGATTGCACTGAAGGGTCAGAATCAGTCGGTAGCACTTCTTTATTTGGCAAAGGTAGATGCAGTGAGGCTACAGGGGTGAATCCCCAGGTAAGAAGTTTTATGGTTTATAAGGTGATGTTTATGGATTTCCAGAAAGGTCAAAACAAACAAATGTGCCAGACATCAGAGGTCACAAAGCATTATGATGCTATTGTGGCAAAAAGGGTAAAAATGAGGTAATAATTAGTATAAGTGGACAGAAAAGAAGGAAAAGGAAAGGAGAAAAGACCCTGCAAAATTAGTTGCGGCGAGGGCCTCAGTCTCTGCCTCCTAAGCCCCCCCCCCCCCCAAGACAAGAAGCAAGGGATTGAGGGGGCTGTAGAAATAGTATTGATATTTATAGAAGTAGGCCTTTACTTGATTGAATAGAATTTTTAAAAATCTATTACTAACTGGGTATTCAAACAAAATTGAGTGTCAATTTGAGTAAGGTGGTTTGGGAGTCATGCGCCTTTCTTGCATATGTAACTATCAATTTTGTCACTGAATAGAATTTTCTATATGTCTGTACATTTATTTACTTATTTAAAATTTTCTGCCACATCATCAAAGGTCATTAATGGCATATTCAAAATATAACAATAGGGTGGGTCTTAGGGACAAAGCCCTGAGTAAGAAGTGTTTTGGTTTACAAGAAATTTGTGTAAAAAAGTCTTAATAATCAGGCAGTATCAACAGTAATAAGTTTGAAATCTAAAAATGAGCTGTCCTGGACTTTTGTAAATTTTTCTATCTTTACAAAGCCTGAATTTTATCACAAGTAAAACAGTCGCCTGGCACATTGTTATCATTGACCCAATATTAATTGTCATGGCTTTTAGTGAAAGGCCATTGACACGGGGTAAAATAATACACAACTTTTATAAAAATGAAAGAGTTTATTTAACAAAAGTTGTACAATTGTTAATATTAGATAATAGAAGTAAAAATGGGAGATATTACCTGGGCAAAAATTTGGTTTATCTCGACTCATTGATAAGTGCGAGGTACCAACTTTCACTAACAAAATAAAGTCAAAATACATTTACCAAATAATCTACATTTTCTATTTTTAATGAAGGGAGATGTAAGCTGAATATTTCAGATTAGTTTCACTTGTTTCAATTCTTTATCTACCAATTAAAAAAATTTTGCATACATTTTTGAATCCTGAAATTCCCATCCTACAGCTACCAATTTACATAAAGTCCCCATTACAATGATGGGAATTATATTTTTTTTGTGTTTTGTGGTTTTATTCACTCCTAGGCAAAAGTCTAATTTACTAACCTTACACAAGACTTACAAATTAAGCTTTATTTACAATCTTAAATTCAATCTTACTTTAGTAACCTACCTTCTAAGGATAATAACTTACAAAATGGTAAAACATATCCAGCCTATCCCAAACAATAGAAATACAGTAATCTATACTGAAAAAGTGAGATCTTGGCAGGTAAGGATAAATACAAAAATGACCTTAACACCTGCAGCTGCCCAGGTACAGGATGCCATACAACAGTCTCCTGTTGCATGATTTAGATCTAGGCTTTCAATCAAATTGAAAAAGTATATTAATAATAATAATAATAATAATAATAATAATAAAAACAAAAATTATAATAAAAAATAATAATGTCAATGATAGCAAAAACAAATACTGAAACCGCTGAAAAAGTATGTGATCAACTCGGCTAAAAATAAAAACATTTTTGCCTAAATAATTTTGGTCAGAACTCACAGAGTTCATGAAACCAATATCCGATTGCCTTTGAACCATGGGTGTTTGGCAGTCATTCTGAAATCTTGGATATTCATTGATAATAAGAAAAATATGCATTGAAATCCAATTTACCAGTAAATTTTTAAAGAAAATTAATATCAAATTAATATGCTAATATTTGATAACAAGTGTGCAACATACATACATATGTTATCATAAAAATACTAAACAGAAGAAAATACTGAACTGTTTTCATATTCACTATCTTTTTTCATCTGGAAATGAAATTATCCATTCTAAAGGCAGACAATGTGTCAATTTTTTGTTGAAATGATGACACAAATGGTACAGCTCCATTCAGTTCCATGCAACTGTCCCTTTCCAAAAATAAAATAAATTAAGAAATAATGATATTAACCATGCAAATCACAAACATATTCTTGAAGATTATTTTGCATGAGTTGAAAAATTATCATAAATGATAATAAAATAAAAATATTCTCAACACTCCTCCTTATACAAAAGACAACAAAAACCATGTTTGGGTATTTATTTACATCTTAGGAGTCTTATCAGAAATATATTACACTTGGTCTCATCAAGTGTGTCCTGTTAACCATATTTTCAATATGCAGCAGAACTATGCTCATTTTATTTATCTTTATGGTTTATGTAAAAACAAGACTTTCATGCACTATACACCTTGTGTCAGAATTAGATGGCTACAAGGATATAAAAATAATTCAGATATTGAAACTAACACAATTCTGACTTCATTTGTAACATATGTAGAAAAAAGTAGAAATGAAAATGAACTTCACAGTGCAAAATATGGATTTGTCATTTTAACTCAAGTTTCATCAGAAATACATGTTGGGAGAGAGGGAGAGGGAGAGGGAGAGGGAGAGGGAGAGGGAGAGGGAGAGGGAGAGGGAGAGGGAGAGGGAGAGGGAGAGGGAGAGGGAGAGGGAGAGGGAGGGAGGGAGAGGGAGAGAGAGAGAGAGAGAGAGAGAGAGAGAGAGAGAGAGAGAGAGAGAGAGAGAGAGAGAGAGAGAGAGAGAGAGAGAGAGAGAGAGTGAGTGTTTGTGTTTCTGATGTATATATCTTTTAACCTTTGTGAAGATTCTTTCTCATTAACTTTTCCTACATGTACAACACAATTAAAATCAGTCTTCTACTATTTCTTTTTAGTTACATATTTCACCATCTATCCATCCTTTTTCAAAACAAAACAGAACACCTGATGTTGATAACAATAAAGATTTTATTTCAAATGAACTTACTCACACAAACAAGCAACTGCTCAGTTTTTCACAATGCCTTGATAATCACTAACTACGAGCCAAATTTTTACAATCTGAATTCACATCCAAGAAAATATTTGTGAATTCAATACAATCTAAACAACTAGTGCCAGACCTTCTTTAGGGATTTTCAATTTACAAAATTAAATTGGCACTTTGATCTCTTAAGATTCACTCTGAAATTACTAGTTCTTATACATGTGCAACAGAACAAGTTGATGCATAGCTCAAGATATACTTGGAAAATGCTACAAATCAATATAAAAAGTTCTAAACACAAGCATTCCTTGTATTTAATTGCAATCAGACATCTACCATGACTGCAAATTAGGGAAAGCTCCTGGAACATTGAACCTATCAATTGCACGGGTGATGACATGAATGCATTTTCTCTTAAACTACAGTACATCTTTCATCACCTCAATGACAGGGAAATTGTGAATATATGCTACAACACATGTTGTCTATCACACACTATAATTTGAGAAATAACACAGATATTTAATTAAAAGTAAAATAAATAATTAGACCAAAATCACTTGTGGTGCTTGCTGATCAGTCACATTTTTTCTGGACAAAACACATTATCAACTACATAGTAACTTAAAAAACCAGTAAACCATTATATTGGCCATAAAAACTGGCCCTTTGGCCACCATGAAAGTCATTCACTTATGTGGAAAGATCACTAATGCATTAAATGCAATATCATCCTACTTATGAATGAATTTCTTCAACACTTCAAATGAAAATGTCCATCAAAAGCACCATTATATTTACATCTGATGAAAGATGTCGAGACCTTGTCATTCTACAGTTTTCAGGAGGTACTGTATCTAAAAAATAATACAGCAGAAGAGAAACATTTTAAGGCCCCTTTTCAACACAGAACTAAGCATTCTGATATTGACTGAAGGAAGAGTTCATAAGCAATGTGCTATATCACAATGTTCTATTGGGAAAAGTTGACTTTGTGTGCTAATATTTGATTCTAATTTACAAATAGTTCATAATGGTGGCAGGCTCAAATTTCTTTTCATTAGTCATCTCTCTTACAAATTTAAAACCATTATTTCATGTCCTGGCTACATTGTCCATAGGGTTCTTACTTGCTCCCACTGTGCATAAGCATATGTTGGCTGATATGCTTGTTGAGGGAAGTTCTTCATGGTCTCTAAATATTCATGAGTCTTCTTATCTACAGCTGCAGCAGCTGCAGCAGCAACAGCATGATTGTTGGTGACAGCCTTCTGTGGCAATGGATACTGCTTTGTGTATTCTGTGTAATCCATTCCTTTTCTCTCACTGTGGACAAACCGGTGGCTATTGAGGTGGCTTTCCTGTGTAAATCTCTTTCCACATTCCATGCATTCAAACCTCTTCTTCTGACTATGCACAAACATGTGGCTATTCAGGTGGCTTTCTTGTCTAAACCTTTTGCCACATTCCTCGCAACCATAGATCTTCTGCTCCGTGTGTACAAACCTGTGACTGTTGAGGTGACTTAGTTGAGAGAACCTCTTGCCACACTCGTCACATGCAAACCTCTTCATCATGTCATGTGCACCATGGCCATTGAGCTGGCCATCTGGTAATCTTTTCCCCCACTCACTTGCCTCCAGCTTTTTTTCTTCACTGTGTATGAATCTATGACTGTTGAGATGAATTTCCTGGATAAACTTTTTGCCACATTCCTCGCATTCGTACTTTTTTTCTTCATTGTGGACAAACATATGACTGCTTAGGTGGCTTTCTTGTGTGAATCGCTTATGGCATACATGACACTCAAACCTCTTTTCTTCACTATGCACAAACCTATGGCTATTTAGGTGTGCCTTCCTTGTAAAACGTTTGCGACAGACCTCGCATTCAAATCTCTTTTCACTGTGAACAATCATATGGCTGTTCAAGTGACTTTCCATTGAGAACCGCTTGCCACAAACAAGGCACTCAAATTTCTTCTCAACACTGTGTACCTGACGATGGCTATTAAGATGAATCTCCATCATGAATCTCTTCCCACACACATCGCATTCAAACTTCTTTTCCATGCTATGGACAAGCACATGGCTTGTGAGATGAATCTCTAGAGCAAAACGCTTTCCGCAGACTCCACATTCAAAACGTTTTTCAACATTGTGCGAATGCATGTGACTGTTCAGGTGACTTCTCTGCCCAAAGCGCTTGCCACACTTCATGCATTCAAACTTCTTTTCCTTGATATGTACAAGTTTATGACTTCTAAGGTGATTCTCCATGATAAATGCTTTATGACAGATGTCACATTCAAAGTTCTTTTCCTCTGTGTGAACAAGCATGTGACCATTCAAGTGGCTCTCCATTGTGAAGCACTTTTCACAAACTTGACACTTAAAATTCTTCTCAGCGCTATGCACGATCATGTGACTGTCAAGATGACTCTCCATGGTAAACCTCTTGCTGCAGATTCCACACTCAAACTTCTTCTCCTTCCGATGCCAAACCAAGTGGTTATTCAGATGACTCTCTTGAGCAAACCTTTTACCGCACTCTTCACATTCATATGGTTTTTCAGTTGGCTGCATCCACATAACATTGTGGGATGCTATTTGCTGCACTTCCACAATAGGCTCATTAATCTTATTATCTTTGTGCAAGTACTGGGGATCCTCCATACTGACAGTGAACTTGCTGTCCCCAAAAAGTAGCTTTCTTCATACCAATTCAAGTCCTTGTCAGGTGCAAGTAATGAATGATGCCTGGCCCCTCTCAAAATATCTGAAAAGAAGAAAAAGAACATTT